TTTTTTTTCGGGTGCAAGATTTTTTTTCGGCTGCAAGTTTTTTTCGATCGCAGGCTCAATTTCAATCACAACGAACCAACGAACCAACAACAACTATCATCATGGCGTCGCGGTCAAGTACAACCGACAAGAAAATTGAGGTTTGTAGCTACATTTCGTTTGTGATGCTAATTAATTAATAAATAAAGCACGATCATTTCATCTGTTTCTGATTTACAAGGCAAACTGTTCTATTTTGATAATCAGAGCATGCACTATGCAAGTGTTTCGTTATATATTAAATACTTAAATGTTGTAGTAGACGAATGTGTCTATTTATATATATATAATTACTATAAAAAGAGATCGCGTACAATGGTAAAGAAAGGATAATTATAGCATTACAATAATAAAAGGGATTGCTACATTGAGGCTAGGAAACTAGGAAAGTAATTATTAATAAAGCGATTTGTTTATACGGTTACAGTAACGGTTTGCATGTCGTTTATATACACTACAGTTTCATACTTGCCAAATACAAAAATATACATATTCACGTTTTTAAACGTCCATGGGGGCTATTGTCCGGGTGGAGTGAGGGCCGCGATCATAATATTTACAAATAAGGGTTACACATTCACATGTGGCCATACCAAGTCTTTCAGGCAGGCTAGTTCACCAAAGCTCCGTGCTATATTAAATAGCATAATATGAATATATTTTATCACAAACTTGAAATTCGCACTTTTGTGAACAAGTTTCACAGTTGTTACCTGATATCAGAGTCTGATTTCCCCTCACAGAGAAAATAAAGCTTTGCCATTTTTGTGTTTAATTTCTGTCAAGCATGCTCTGTTTCCAGTATTTAATATGTCAAAACATGTCAAAAGATCACTTGTATTTTTAGAATGACTGCTAAATTTAGAGACCATTCAATTGCGTGCATGCAACTTTATAGTACTACGATCATAACTTCGGCCCCTTCGGACGTATCTTCTTTGTTAAATATTCTTGTTCGAATCTCTATCAATAACACTATTTAGAGTGTTATTTTTCAGCTTGTATCTTTTAATTTGCTTCTTTTTATTATGTTATTCCATTTCTGGTCTGACTTGACGTGAACTAATTTCAAAACGCAGAGTTTCAAAAATCAAAACGTCAAAACATTTGGTTAATGATTAACATTTAACCGAATTTAACCGTTGATTGACAACTACATAGAAATACTAACCAATCCGTTTTTCCCGTTCACCAGCGGACGGGTAATTCAAAAAACCCTAGTTTTGCGGCAGACGGTATTTCCTTTGCTTCCCTAATTTTCGCTGCCCGTAGAAATACCGCCTGCCATGCAGGCTAGTGAACTGTCTACCAACCTGCTTAGGCGAGATCTCGGCTTCACAAATCAATATCTCACTTATAGCCAGGTTCCCATATAATTGCAAGATGATTGAGTATTATTATAAATTACCTGTTACATTAGATATTGGCATCCAATAACTGTTTACTGAAACATCATGCAATAACTGTTTATTAAAAATTACATGTACGTAATTTTTAATTTACTCATATTTTTTACTCATATTGTCATATACTATATGTACATGTTTAATTTTATGTTGTAGGAGGTTTGCAGTTTTTTGAATGAAAGAAACGTAGATGGGAAAATAATCCAGAAGTTTAAAGATGAAAAGGTAATTCTAATATGTGACATATGTAGTGTCAATTAATAATAACGTGACCATGCAATGTCACCATGTGTCATGTGACCAATTAATAATAATAACCGCAGTTTAAAAGTATTTATTACAATGCAAGCATCTGTGATAATATATCACTATTTATATGTTGTTTTACTATATATTACTATGTGGTTTACTATTAATAGTGTTGTAAAAAGGTTTTTAAAAAAGAAAAATTCTGAAATTACACTGAAATTACTTTTGCCTGCTTCCACTTTTAAATACGGAATTTCCTTAAAAAAAATTTGCCGGAGCCGGATTTTTGACTGCTGGAGCCGGAGCTAAAATAGCCGGAGTTTGCACAGCCAGTGGGTCCATTATTTTCCCGGCCAGCCATTACGTAAAAATAGGCACGCCATGCGTACATGTATCTGAGTATAGCGCCACAATGAAAGGTCCGACTTATTTATATTACTAGAAGTTACTATCGCAAGGAAAGTGCTGCCTCATCCCCAATGGATCAAAGCCAGCATGTGCATTTGCCGAATAAGGGGTTGTTTATATGATCCTGCTTTGCCAGGATGAGATACGAGGCAGGGTGATTTCGATGTATTGAAATAAATCATGGTCTACAACATTTCAGTTCCGTTAACCAGCATTTGAAGTTTCATTTAGCCTAGTGACTTATTTCAATAGTCAATACTCAAAATCTCCCCATCTTCCAGCATGTAAACAGCCCCTAAGACCTGTTCATGGGGTAGGAAAAATGCATTTTGAATACCAAACACCTTGCACAATGTCGAAGGTCAGCCAAATATTCTATTTCTACTTTGTTGGCATGGGCCATGGGTGATTTTATATGAATACCTTCAATGCTAATAACTTCTTGTATGTATAATCACAATACTGTCAGTGGTGAAGCTAGCCATAGCAACAGGTCAAGCTATGCAAGTTTGTTAGTTATGCATTTGCATTGTAGGCATTTGCATTGTAGGTTTATTAGCATAGCATGACCAGTTGCCATGGCTAGCTTGCCACTGAATACTGTACAATATCATCTACATAAACAATAATAATACTTGAATGAATCATTGGACATGTAGAATTTAATAACAATTTAATATATAGAAATAAGTTTTTGTCCCAATTATCATTTTAATGGCACCTTCAAGGCAATGTTCACAGAACAACTGAATAATCTGCTGATGGGGAGACAAAATCTATTTGTTGACATTTTTGTTTAGTACATTTGCTTCAGATGACACCATTCATTTGTAATGACTAAGATTGTACTCAGTCAGAACTGCATAACTATATAATAGGAAAGAATTTGTGAGCACTATCGAAAAATATAGTATACCCTGAAATGTAGTGACACAGGTACACAACCAGGGTGAATATATGAATATAGGCCGGTAGGATTACTTCATATTTATGCTAATGCACCAGTCAAAGTAAACTCCGACCCCCCCCCCCAGGATATAGGTGGGGATTGGCTTTGAATACCGTACCAAAACAGACAAATGCCCCACAATATGGGACAAAATTTTCTAGCAAAAGACAAAAAATGCCCCACCCCCGGGGGAAATTGTAAGTCGTGTGAGCGAATTTATCTCCTGCATAATATCTCCTCGACAATCTCCGGGCCGCCGCATTAATTGTCCACATTTTAAAATATTAATATTTCGTTCCAAAACTCAAAAGAACAATAAAAACATATTAATATAAACAAACAAATGTCGAATTTTCCACAACAATATAGATTCCATGCATGGATGGATGGACATATTAATATATATTGAAAAGGAATGAATATATTCATAAAATACCTCTCGATTTCACTTCCTTGCGATTGCCAGCATGCCATCTTGACCTTTGTCACATGGTATAAAATGGTAGAATCAGGGGATTTCATTGGACAAAACGGTACAAAATAGTACAAAATGGCCGCCGACAATCCCTAACAATCCCCACTATCTTCCCGGGGTAATTCGGCAGAATGACAAAAACCAACAAATTCCCGACATGGTTGGGACAGAATTCGATGACAAAAAGCCACTAAATCCCCACCACATCCCCTCTTTGCCGGGGGTAGGGGGGGGGGAGGGGGGTTACTTTGACTGGTGCATAACAATGTACATATCTCAGATATATATTTTTACAGACCACCATACCTTGTACAATGTACATACCTTGTACATACCTTGTACAATACCTTGTACATGTTATATTAATACATGCAGACAACAACCACACTGTCGTCTATCGCTGGGTTATTATTAAACTGCATGGGTTTGCAGGTTGCTATAGGAAATATCTTTACATTATAAAGCATACCGGGCCATGATACTGCACAACATTCAGCGTTTTTAAAACGTTCTGAAAGCGAATTGCTATGTCTATGACGAGGTCTATGAACATCTAGAATGAACACTAAACTCATCGCCTTGGCGCATCGCCACACAAACAAATATAAAACCAAAAGTACATCATTTTGACCCCAAAATATATTAAAAAGACGATCTATTGTTTCAAATACCTCATATCGAACGTTAAACAGTAGATCTAAATATAAATGCCTTCATGTAAATCACCAGAAAGAAGTAAAGCTATCCTTACCTGAATTATTCAAAATATTGTCGATTTGTGAAAATCCAACATGTATCATGCGAGCGCAATACAAAATAAATTTTGACCGCCCCCTCGTTTAAAAAAACTTCCTCAAGCCTTAATTAGTTCCCCGGAATTACGACATCTTTACATACATACATACATACATACAGACAGACACTGAAGACACAAATCGAAATCTCGATCGACTGTACATAACTCGGCCAAAGAGAATGGGCACAAGTAAACGCAGGCAAGCAATACTTCATGTTAAGAATAGTGTGCTGCCTTCGGCAGCAATAACAGTAATAGACAACTTTCATTTACATGACAATTAAAAATTGACCATTTCAGAGCACATGTCATAACAAATTCTTTGTTCGCTACTATAGCTAAAGAAAGAATCTGATAATCGTACGTTGTCTGAATTGGCCAATTTATATCTAATTAGTGTAGGCGAAATTTGCCTGTTTCATTGGGTTATGTTGACATTTTGATATAATTTGTTAATTTGTTGTCATTGGAAACAACTTTTAATTGAAAATCCAAAATGTGGCTCACCTCCATATGAACATGCCTAAGATTTGCGTTCTGCAAGTGCCGCTGTATAGCCTAGCTATATATTGTTTAGTTTTTAAAGCCGTAATTGCCGCCCTTAATGAGCTGTTGTTTACAAATCCTTATTAAGCTCTCTCGTTTCACGATGTCATTGTCTCTCATGCATTTTTTGTTTTCAAGTATAAATGCCATACAATAAACTTTTTATTAACCTCGGTATGTACATGCAGAGAAACATCAGACCTCGGTCTTTTTGTACAAACATTCAGCCTTACGAGCTCGCCACTCGGTTCGAGACCTCGATCCGATATTTCTCTGCAGCTAGATCTCGCGTTTGGTCAATAAGACTTTAGTAATGAGTTTTTACAATGGATTGAATGACAATTGATCATTTGACCCCATTCCATTAAAAGAAGCAGCGCAATGTCAAATATAGTGTTTTTACTTTTCCTCCATGGAGCCTATTTTGAGGGAATTTAGTCATGTGACCGAGCGTTGCAAAAGGCCTATCAACAGTCACAAGAAAAATGAGCCCACAGGCGGCCCAATCTCTGAGTGGTCTATATATTTTGAATATTTATACGGAATATTTAACCGTTATAATATTTAATAACGAAATAATTCAACGGTTAAATATTCCTCATAAATATTCAAAATATATAGACCACTCAGACATTGGGCCGCCTGTGATGAGCCATGCTTGATTTGCAAGCCCTGACTTAGGTCACGTACATGTGTTTTCTTGTAATTGTATTAACCTTTTAAACGACATTGCCCCCTGTCACTTGTCCCTTTAAATTGTCACTTTGCTCTGTCTAACGTCAGACGACTTTACATGTGCTGTTTATATTAGCGAGATATTTTACTATTCAAGGGGACAGTACTTACACTTTAACACGTTAAAGATCAATATCTTTTGAATACTGATGAAGAGGACGGATATTATAAATTATAAATTTCTCATTATATCAAAATAACAAATACTGTACTCATGAAGTCCCAGGTGTTATTACATGATAGTGTATACACGGTCTATTTACCATAACAATTAAACTTCGCATATAGCTGTAAATCAAGAATTTAGATGAGAGTACATGTGCTCACTGCTAGTCACTTTATATCATCTTTAGTAAATTTCTGTTAGTTTGTTTAGTAATTAAGATATACTTTCTCAGCTTGTTCTATTTCAATATTTGTTTAGTATATTCGAAAAACGGAACAACGTATTCTCGTTACATAATTGCAATAACATTATACATATATTATAGTTATACATCTCTCAAAAGTGTAAATATACATCAATTGAAATGAGCAGTTTGCAAACCAAGCTGAGGTGGTCTATCTAGCCAACATGTGTTTAAATAAAGTTGATGTATGTATGTATCTTCGGTATCTTCGTGTGTCATCTTAAAATACTTCAAATCCATATTGTTTCAATTCGGTGCGTTCAAATATTCTCAAGCTGTTTTTTGAAGCCTTTCCCATTTGGATCCTTGACATATCGATAAATATAGTTAACAAATCGTAAGACAATAACTAATTAAAAATGGCTGGGGCACAAATAGGTACAAGAATTTGTAAAAACATGCATGTAAGAACTTTATATCTTTACTAGCTATAGCCTATGTATTTTAGTTTCATTGTTTCTATGCATTTCGTATTGCAGATGGATTTCGATGCAATTGCTATGTCATCCGATGAAGATCTTAAGCAACTTGGGCTTGCTAGAAAGGGTGACATATTGAGCCTAAAAAACTTTTGTCAAAATCATATGTCATATAAGAAAGTGGATGAAACCAAACATGAGAAAAAACGCCTTTTACAATCAATATTGAACTTTGGAAAGTCATCTAAAAGAAGCAAAACGTCTCCCGAGAGTGTAAAAAAAGCTGTAGGTTCAAGTACAAGTGGCAAGACAAGGAAAGTTCACCTTGGATGGATGAACTATAGTGATGAGCATAATTCTTTTATGCAGGTGCGGGCAAAAAAAGGTGGTGGAACACGAGTTGTTGATGTGGCTGTTTCGGCCAACATAGATGGCATAATAAGAATTGGAAAAGAAGTATTTTTCCCTGGTGGTAAATCTGACTTTGGTAACATTGACGAATTTCATTTTGGGTTGGCGGATTTTAAATGTAAACATTTACTGAAAGCAGGTAGCGGATTGTCTGATACATTTACATTGCAAAAGTATGTTAATGAAGTTAAAATGAAAAGGGTTTTGTTATATATAACTACCAAGAAAAACGATTTGGAAAATGATGAATTGTCTTTCGACAGCGACAGTGATGTTGGTGTTACTACGTCAAATGATTTGTTTGAAACTAACGATTCGGAAGTACCCTTAGAAAATCCTTCTTCCATTATAATACGCAGAGAGCTGATTGCACAACAAGACCAAGCCTACAAAGAATCTTTGGAAGCAGATATGGCTAAGGAGGAAACCTGAAGAGCCGTTTGAAGGGGAAGATCAAGTAGTCGTACATGTGCGCCATATAACACTCGGGATGGTGAAACGCTCCTTTAGACCTACATGCAATATGAATGCAGTGTATGATTGGGTAGGTTCGCTTAGCTTGACACCAGAACATTTCACTTTGACAGATTTTGTGGCAAGTAGATTTGAAGAAGAACAGTCTGTTAGACATGCATCTTCTGTTGTTTTGTACATGCGAGAACGGTGTGATGATGATGATGATGATGATGATTTACCGAAATTTATGGTTTCTTCTGATAGTGAAGCATCAAATTCCTTAATGCATGTCCATGAACCAAATGAATATCTTCCAAACAAAATAATGGAAGAAGATGAAAGGTACGGTTTTCCATTACACATATAATTTTGTTCCTGTATCATAGATGACTGTTGATTGATTCGTTTGGGAAAGGGGGTTAGATAAAATTTAATGGGTATATATATACATGGTCACAATAGACATCAGAGGTGCTTACGTCACACAGTTCTGAATCCATATAAACATTATATATATTTTCCTACATGTTTCCCACATTGCATTGCAATTTATTTTTTGGCACTGGCGTGACGTAATCACTTCTAAGGTTTATTACATGAGTAATAAAGTCAACCATGCATAAGCAACAAAATTTTAAAATGATGTGCCCATGCATGTGAAGTGTGGAGCCAGCTTGATTGATCTATATGGTGACAAGAGAATGTAATTATCGTAAGAGAATGTAATTTGTATTGAGCCGATAGAAGAACCCTTTTATACAATTTATCTTGTTCTAATTAATATAAACTAAACTCTCGACTTATAGTGACCATGAAAATGGCTCAGAAGCAAGTACTCTGTCACAGGTACGGTATGTTTAATGTTTTACAATAAATATTTACCTCTATTAACCGGGCGCTTTTCGTTATTTCGCTTCTCTCCTTCCAAAACAGCGATTCTTCGTTTCACTTGAAAAAAGTACATACATACATACATACATACATACACACATACATACATACATACTTTATTGTATTCCTCAAAGAGGCTTTTCAACACTAATTTACATGGAATGGTGATTAAAAAACAAGGTTAAGATTACATATTTAAAAATTTACTAGGAAAAATCTTCTATTATTAAAATAGTCCATTAGGCATTACTAAGAATACAGTCTGTCTAACATGTCTTTCTTTAATTTATTCTTAAAACTTCTCAAAGATGGCATTTGTTTCGTGTTATTGTCCAGATCATTCCATAGTTTCGCCCTTCTATAATGAAATGTTCTCTGGCCAGTGGTGGTATTATAAATCGGTATTTGGAGGAGCTCTCGGTTATGAGTGTCACATGCATGTATATTTGTTCGTTTACTAAATTTATTGCACAAGTAAGGTGGGGCTAGATTGTTAATACACTTAAAAACTGTACTGTACACTTAAAAACTGTAAAAACTGTATCTCTAAAAAGAAAGTGTTCATTAACTTGAAGCCAATTCAGTTCTCGCAGTTTTGGTGAGATATGATCGAACTTCTTGCTGTTTGTCACGATCCTGCACGCGAAGCTTTGTACCAGTTGTAGCTTGTTAATATTTTTGGCCGAAATATTGAACACCGAGGAAATTTCGTGTATTTGTAATTTTCTAATAAAATTATACATTTGTCTAATATAAAGAACAATTTCCACCGTTAATGTGGTACAGTATGCCATGGAGCTATTTCATACATTATTCGAATTAAAAAAAAAATCTTAATTATCATTTGTTATATCAACTTTGCACTATCATTTGGATCTCTGAGTTCATATCTGAAATCATTTCCTTGTTGCAGGGAACGTTCCCGTCGGAAACCTACAGACGACAAATGCGACAGCTGGAGCGAATGAGAGAAGTATTAGCCGAAGACGAAGAACCATGTAATATACAGTTTTCAACTATACTGTCATAGTAGAAAATCCTTTTTGCATAGAACGCATTAAAACTTGGTCCGAAATCGAGAGAAACCGAAAAAAAGTTCCTTCAGCAAGTAGGGCGAGTGTTCACATGGAGTTTCACGTTTCTTTCATACGGACAAAATATTAGACATACCCATTCAAGTTTATTTTTTGTACATTACATTTTAAATTGCTTTTGAAATTTTGACTTCAATTAACTTTAAAATTTGGAATTTTATAAATGTTTAATACAGTAGGAGATTTGGTATTTCGAAAATGGACATTGGACCTTCGAATATAGATTCTCGACCCTTGACTTTTTAGTATCGATACTTGACACTAATTTTACTTCTTTATTTTATACCTAAAACTTTGTTTTTAGCTACATCACAAACAGATGAAAATCATGATGACAAAAATCTTCAGAGCGTTCGAGAGGTTCATGTTCGACGAGCGACGATCGTCGATGATGTATTGAATCAGTTCAGGGATCCAACAATCTTGCGTTGTAGCCTAGCGGTGACGTTCAATGACGAAACGGGCCTTGATTTTGGTGGCTTAACTCAAGAACTTTTCAGTACGTTTTGGGATGCAGTCTGGGATATGTATTTCGAAGGAGAAACAGCAAAGGTGCCATTTGTTCCTCCGCAGTCCATAGCTAACAGTAAAGCTGCATTTAAAGCTATTGGCAGAGTTCTTGCGCATGGATGGGTACTAACAAAACAAATTCCAATCCTCTTTTGTGAAGCTTCCCTTATTGCTGCCATTCATGGTCAAGACAAAGTGACG